ACCTGCTTTGACCTCTCAGTCAGCCTGCTGCGTGTCTTGGAAATGACCATCACACTAGTGCCTGAGATATTCCTTGACTGGGCCCGGCCTACCTCTGAGATGCTGCTGCGACGTCTTGCACAGGTGTGTCCATCTAGGGCAAGGAGGGTAGGATCCTGGGGATACCCCACTGGTGAGCTTGTCCATGTACAAAAGGCTCCTGCCCCCACAGCTGCTGAATCAGGTGCTGAACCGTGTGACAGCTGAGAGGAACTTGTTTGACCGTGTGGTCACCCTACGACTACCTGGTAAGAACCTAGATGCCCTGCACCCCTACACAATAGGCCTTGAGTCCTCTGCCAGTAGCATGATGCCCGATGATTCTCTATTCTGCACCATGACAGCCAGGCTCAGCACCCCCAACCCAGCTTGGCCCTTCTGTAGAGTRGACAGAGAGAAGGGTTGATGGCATCAGCCAGGCCTGGAGCCTCTGCCACAGGAGCATGAAGGAGGTTCATTTTCTTCCTTCCCTCCCCTTAGGCCTAGAAAGTGTGGACCACTACCCTATCCTTGTGGCAGTGACAGGCATCCTGGTACAGCTCCTGGTGCGTGGTCAAGCCTCAGAGTAAGTTTTTGAGACTCCCATGGGAGCTGGGCAGGACCTCCCTGTACCCCAGTTTCCTTATCTTATAAATGGGCCTCACTATCAGGTTTTAAGGTAGAGGGAAGGTGGTGAGATGAAACTGCTTAAGTAGGTGACAGTGGCAGCTGCTCTGGGTTGAAGAATCAAGGACCCAAGCAGGACAAAGTGCCCTGGCTTGTGGCCATTCCTCAGGTAGCAGTGGGGGTATAGGGCAGACCATCCTTTGATGGCCAGGACAACACTGCTAGATCAAGAGCCAAGCACATTACAATGCTGCCTGTCAGTGAAGGCCTCAATGAGCATGGATTACCTTTATTACAAAATTCCATTAACAGCAGGGTCCAAGACAGCCATGGGGACTCGTAGCTCAGCCCCCACACCTGAGGGGCTCCTAGAACCCCTTCCCTGCCTCTCTGCCGTGGGAGTGGTGAGGTGCATATGAAGCCAGGGCACCGCCTCAAACCATTAGGCTGAGAACAGTGCCAGCCATTAAAAGGCTCCTGCCCTCAGGGACATCAAGTTCCATCTGGGCCCTCTCAGCTTGGCCTTGCTTGCCAGGCTTTTTACTGCTGTGCTGTGAGCCCATGGAATGAACTTTGCCTTGAAATGACTGCTGGAGAAAGCAGGGCCACTGTGGCTGGGGCTCAAGCCAGGTCCCCAGGGGTTCTCCTTCCTAATGCCTGCCCACCAGACTGTGCATGCAGTTGTGAAGCTTTCAGAAGGTTGGCTGCTGGTAGTTGGGGGAGTGCTGTGTCATCAGAGGGAGGATGTTTCTTCCTTTCTCCAGGAACACGGGCTGGAGTTGAGCTCTCCATCATTTCCCCTGTGAGACCCCTGCCCCAGGTATGGGAAGGGGAAGGTGGTGTGCTTTGACTGTTCTGTATCACTCCTTCATATCTGCTTCAGCCACTGAAGGGGTTCCTAGGGCTCTAATGTAAGAGCTTTTCCAGATGGACTTGGTCCCCCATCCTTAAGGGACATTGGGACAGTAGGAGGTCCCAGGAAAGGCAGACACTAGCAGGTTCTGCTGGGGTCTGGGCCCTTGGGGACCCGTGCTAGGCAGAGCAGGAGGAAATTAAGAGACTCTGATTCTTCTATGAATAGGACCATTGTGGTTCAGGTAGGAACCACAAAGGAAGCTGTCGGACCAGGTACAATGCTTCCCACTAACACCTGGCAGTTCTCTGTATGGTAGCAGGGAGCAGAGCAAGCAGCAGGAGGGTCATGGCCTGAGTGGAGGGCACTGGGCAGCCTAGGTCATCATGAGACCTTCTGAGCCTGTGGAGCTAGCAGATTCAGAGCCAGCCATGAACCGTAGGCCCATGGTATTGCTCAGATCGAAGTCCTCAGCTACAGCCAGCTGCACACGCCCGTTGAGTCCTCTCCTGCCAGGCTCCAGGAAGACCACATGCTTGTGGACACTGGCCTTGCGGCTGGGTGCATCTGGTGGCGTGGCACTGAGCACTGAGGATTGTGCACTCAGCTCCTGGAGTGAACTGGGTGCCCGGGTCCAGCGGTGACTTCGACAGGCTTGGTGACAGCACCGGAAGCAACCGTGGCAGGGTGGTGCAAACAAGTACAGCAGCACCAGTACCAGGCCCACTGCGCAGCCCAGTAGTGTGGTGAAGCCTGTGTTGAAAGCCTCAGGCTCCAGGTGTGGGAAGTGCACACTCACATTGTACTCAAGTGTCTGGTTGTGGTGCAGGCGGGGCCCAGTGGCCAGGCACACGAAGACACCAGCATGCTGCTCCTGCACTTTGCCTATAGCTAAGCTGCCATCCGCCAGCACTGCAATGCTGCCATCTCGGGATCCTGGTGCTACAAGCAGTTCGTGCTTAGGTGAAACCCAGGCAATGTGCACAGCTGGGGCGCTGGTGTTGCAGTAAAGCCTCAGGGACCGACCCACCTGTGCGTGCAGCTGCTCTTCAGGCTGCTCTAGGCTGGTAGCTGGGGCAGCTGAGCAGTTCTCAAAGACACGGCTGTGCTCAAAGAAGCGCACGCGGGATGTGGGTACCTTAAAGGCCAGGCACGTGTACTCACGTGCAAAGTCTCGCACCGCACTTAGGCCCCGCTGGTGCCAGCGCTGCAGCAGGTGGTAGAGTCGGCAGTTGCAGGGCAACGGGTTATTATGCAAGTAGAGACCATTCTTGAGGAAGACTGGCAGTGCGGCCAGCTCAGGGACAGAGAGACGTCCCAGCCGGTTGGAGGAGAGGTCCAGGGTGCGCAGGTGGATCGCACCCAGACCATGCAAGTGGTTGAAAGAGAAGGTCATGAGTTCGTTGCAGCCCAGATAGAGGYGGCTGAGTGCACTCAGGCTGTGGAAGGCATGCTCATCCAAGTGTGCCAGGCGGTTATTGAACAGAAACAGCATCTCCAGTGCCTCAAGTCCATCAAGGTCGTGGGGGCCAAGTGCCCGCAATGCATTAGATGATAGGTCAAGGAGTTTTAGGCCRCTGGCATTATTGAAGACTCCGTGACCCAATGCATCCAGTTCATTGTGGCCTAGGCGCAGGGCGCGCAGCCGGGAGAGGGGTGCCAGCCAACCCGGGCGCAGGCGCTGGAGTGCGTTGTGGCTCAGGTCGAGTTCAGCAGCAGCTGCAGGTAACGTGGCTGGCACGTCCTGCAACCCCAGGCCTGCGCAGATCAGCAGATCAGCAGCACAGACACATTTGCTGGGGCAGTTGTGGGGCACAGCGGGCAGAAAGCCCTCAGGGTCTCGGGTGCCTAACGTGGCGACCGGCAGCATGCACAGCAGGGCACCCAGCAGCCCTAGCCAGGCCATGGCGGCAACCATCAAGAATGAGGGCAGCCTTGTGCGGGTCACAAATCCAGGACTCACCCACTCTTGTTCTGGCCCAACAAGCGTGGTGCCGGATGGTCCACGGCCGAGGAGGCACAATGCTGGCTTCACTCAGCTCAGRTGGACGCTGCAGTCAGCTCTGTCTCCCCTTGCTTTCTCCCAGGGCTTTCCTGGTCGACTTCTAAATAGTCGCTTAGAGAAGCCGGCCCAGGGGGCGGGGCATCGGGTTTCTATTGGCTCCCGCTGCAAGGGGCGGGGAAATCACATCCCCTGCCGCTTAAGAACCCCTATGGCCACCAGGGGGGGTACGAATTCACTTCCAATACCCAGCCTTCCCTTAGCCAACAAACCAGAAGAGGAAAAGGGGCAGCCAGGGGAGAATGGTAAACTGCTCCTAATGTTCTTTATTTGAAGGATCATTGTATCATGGGGCAGGTGGACTTTAGGTGTTTTATGGTAGCCCACAAAACTGGTACCTGGGCTGCATGTGATTTCACTGAGACCCCCCCCAGGACTTAGAAGGTTGCAGCTGGGAGGTGGAAATAAAGGCATTAATGCAATTAGGTTTGGACGGTCACACAACCCCAGGAGTCCCCCAGTGTTCTGATTACACTATATACCCTTCCCTACCTAGGACAGAGAGAGCCACATCAGTGCTTTTGGCTGACCCCTGCTTCCAGCTCCGATCCATATGCTATCTTCTGGGGCAGCCAGAGCCCCCAGCACCTGGCACTGTCCTGTCTGCCCCAGACCAGAAGCGCTTCTCCCTGCAGAGCTGTAAGTGGGCCAGGGGTGGTTAAGGGAAAAAAGATCTGGGACTCTCTGAAGTCAGGTCCTCCAAGAACAGCAAATCCCCAGCCTGGGAGTATTCAAAAGGCACCAGATTCTAGGCTACATCTGGCCTGACACACCTACCACTATCCCAGATACTGATTATATTAATGCTGAGGAGCTGGCACAAGTGGAACAGATGCTGACACATCTGACCTTTGCATCTGCCCAGGCAGCAGCTGCATCCTTGGTGAGTGGGACCACAGCACATCCCATGCTACTTGAGTACATATGTGCACACCAATATAGGCATAGCATATCCAACCACCCTTCACTTCCCTCCCTGCAGCCCACCAGTGAGGAAGATCTCTGCCCAATCTGTTATGCCCACCCCATCTCTGCTGTGTTCCAGCCCTGTGGACACAAGTCCTGCAAGTAAGTGGGGCCCCATGGGCTTTGAGAAGGGGCAGTAGGAACATCCAAGACAGTCTTTATCCCCTCCCCTTTGCAGAGCCTGCATCAACCAGCACCTGATGAACAACAAGGATTGCTTCTTCTGCAAAGCCACCATCGTGTCTGTAGAGGATTGGGACAAGGCAGCTAATACAAGCACCACCTCCTCAGCTGCCTAGGCCTGCCAAACCTCCACCTGTAAACCCAGACCCAGGCAGAGACCTATTTATGAGCTTCCCTTTCCCTGTTCCCTATCACCCCCRCCACATCCAACCTCTTTGTCTATGTGTAGCCCCATTGATAAGAGCCTGGCCGTGGCCCTAATAAGGTCTGGGCTTGACTTTCAATCAGGGCCACAGTAAACATTAAATTATTATTCCATACAGCCCTGGCCTGGCCCTTTTTAAGGGAGTGGGGTTTGTAGGGTGTGGCCCAGCAGGGATTCTGCTACTTTATGTCCAAGTGAGAAGGCAGGTGTTCAGCAGCTTCATCCTCAACCAATCCTCCCCAGACAAATAGCACCAAGTCCAGGGCCTTTTGTGTGTCAAGCCAGTGCTCCTCTTGCTGATGGGGAAAAATAGGGGTTCGGCCAGCCCCAGGCATCCCCTCACATAATGATACGAGGCTCTGGCACTGATTCACCAATAGACTTGTGGGGCAGCACACTGGCTCCGTTGAGGTAGAGCTCGTCGTTAACTATAACATCCTCGCCCAGCACAGTTACGTTCTCCATACGCACCTGGGTGAGGGGGGATAAGACCTTGTCAGTGAGGCAGATGCATTTTCTGGTCCTCTCCCCATCTGGCCCAGCCCTTTGGCTTACCCACTGGCCCACACGGCAGCGCCAGCCCACGATGCATGACTCAAGCCAGGAATGGGAACGTATGTGGGCATCCCGCAGCACTGTGCACCGCCGGATGCACACGCCATCCTCCACCACCACACCAGGACCCAGGCTCACATTGGGACCAATGCAGCAGTTCTGGCCAATTCGGGCACTTGGATCCTGAGAGCAATGGGGAAAATACAGTTGGGCCATTTGTCCCCTAGGGACTGAAGGAATTAATGATGGGCTGGACAAAGGCCTCACCACAAGAACATTGCCCACAATGCCAGGGCCTGAGCATAATCGCTCAGGTTGCTTCTGCCTCAGTGACTGAAGGAAGAGACACATGCCAGTGAGGAAATCCTTGGGCTGACCGATATCCATCCAGAAGCCTGTAGGGAGGGATGCATCAGGGGCTCAGCCCAGCCACAGACCACCCCCACCCATGACCTCTCTGCCTCACCCTGCAGCTCCATGGCATATAGCTGCCCCTCCTTGGCCATAATGGGGAAGACCTCCTTTTCAATGGATGTAGGCTGCAGCTGTGGGAGTGGGCAGCTTGTGAGCAGGGTCATGGTAGTAATGGCCTGTCCCACCCTAGCCCACCCAGCAGCTGTCTTCTACACACCTGGATGCGTTGCAGCACTGCAGGGCTCAGGATGTACATGCCTGCGTTGATCTTATTGGACACAAATACCTGTGGCTTCTCCACAAACCGGTGAATGCGGCCCGTGTCAGCCTCACATACCACCACACCGTACTTAGAAGGCTCCTCCACCTTGGTCACCTGAATACAGGGGGACTTAGGCCTAGTCCAGTGTTCCTAAACCTTTACACATATGCTGTCCCAAGTTTCAGGGATTCTGTCCCAAATACTTAGAAGATACTGCTTAGCTGTGCTCTTATAAGGAGAAAGATCAAAGGGGGGGGGGGGGGCAAGGGAAGCTGGGCTGGGATGTTGCAGGGAATGTCAAAGGAGAAGGAAGACCTGGTCTCTTACCAGGATGGAGCCCTCCTGACCATGGTGCTGATGGAATTGCACCATGGCTTGGAAGGGGAAATCACAGATCACGTCGCTGTTGAGGACGAAGAAAGGGTCTGCAGTCTCAGAGAGCAGGTCACGGGCCAATGCCAGGGGCCCAGCTGGGGGAAGGGAGCAGATCACGGCCTTGCTGGGGATCTGAATCCCTGAATTCAGGCTCAGCAGGTACCACCCTCTTCTGGATGCAAACCCTCCCCAAGGAACCTTCTTGTATCCACTGACCTGTCCCCAAAGGCTCCTCTTCATGAGACATGGAGATTCGGATTCCCAGCTGGAAAGGAGAAGTCACCTCGTCAGGTTCTCCCTCCAGAGCAGGAAGGTGGACCAACGGAACCGGCTACGAGTCCGTGCCTCACCCTCTGCTCCTGTGTCTTCATTTCTTTCTCCAGCACCTGCGACATGTAGCTCACAGCCAGGATCACGTGATCCACGCCTGCCTGTCGGACAGGATAAAGCCAGCGAACAGGCGGGCTCAGACGGTAGGTACGGGCACCCCTGACCTTCAGTCGCTAGACGTCCCTCGTCCGCCCAGGACAGACCCCGGGCCTTACCGCAGCAAGGGCCTCCACTTGATGCAGCAGGATGGGCTTATTGCAGAAGTCTACCAGCGGCTTCGGGGTACTCAGCGTTAGTGGCCTCAGCCGCGTTCCATAGCCGCCTACCAAGATCAGTGCCTTCATCTCGCCTGTGGGCGACGGGAGTCAATCCTAGGCTCCAAGGTGCCTGCACCCCGCCTGGCCAACACTGGCCACGAACTACACCCGCTGTGTCCTGCCCCACGCCCTTCACCAGTCAGACTGACCAACTCTGGTTTCAATTTGTTCGCCTGGCCTAACCTGACGCCGGCATCCGGCCGCAAGAACACAAGTTACCTAGCGGGCGGTGGGCGGCTGGCAGAYTACTCGGACCGCACTAGGCGCGGGCAATGACGTGACCCCAGCGGGCCAATCAGCTGCTGTCTACGTGGCACGGCCGCTAGCGTCGGAGCGCTGGGCGCGGCACTACCAAAGACGTAGCCAATGAGAGCCTGAGTGCGCCAGGCTGCTATGGGGACCCAAAAGAGACTCGCGGGTCACCTGTCTATTGGCGGAACCGGCGCCAAGGGCGAGGCCTCACTCCCTACCGGAGCTAGATTGGCTGCAGGGTAGACGCCTGTGGCCATGTTTTGCTGTCCAGGGCCCCGCCCCCTGCGCTCCGACCCTGGGAGGAGTGGATGACGAGGTTGGAGGTCGTTGGCGGTGCTGGGCTGGGTGGATTCACCCTGGAGCTGCTAAGTTTTCAGAAAGATACGGACAAGCTACAATTTCTAGCGGCTTTATTTTGACATATACGACCTCAGACACAAGCGGGGTGGGCAGCGCTGGGTGTACAGAAAGGGGCGGGCTCGGCCCGGGCACCCCTCCCTCACACGCAAGGTCCAAGGAAATGCAACTGCGCGAGTCGAGGCCGGAGTCACCTGTAGTATCCAGGCACAGGCCTCGGGTGGCGTGGACAGGTTTAGCTTCCAGGAAAAAGAAGAGCGGAGTGATTCCCAGAATGCGAGGTCTTACATGTCCCCGAGGAGCAAAGGAACCACGTCCTTCCCGGGGGTCGCCATTTTCTTCATTAAAATATTTTTTTAAATCGGCACAAACATAACCAAATTGTACAGCTGTAAAGTTAAAAGCAGTCTGCATCTAGGGAACGTGCACATGGCCAGGTGAGTAGCAGCTACTAAATTAACCCAGGCCTCTGGCCCTTGGTGGGAATCCCCATACCCATTGCACACACCCAGAAAAGAGGGTGGGGTTCCTGGCAAGTTGCTACATTGGTCCCCTTCCTTTTTAAGCACCACCAGTCCCTTTCCACCCCAACCCTGGAGGCGGGGTCTGGCGTTGGCCCAGCCCAGCGAAAATAACAGAGAAGGGTGACCTGAGCACCCCAACCCATGATCCCCAGTTGCACTTTGGTCCTGATTTGGGGATGGGAAGGCAGGGCCTGGCAGCATTAGGACTCTCTAGCCTGGGCCAGGCAGAAGGAGCAGTGGCAGAAAATGTGCATGCACAAGTTTGCCATCACCCATCAAATAATGATTGGGTTTCCAGGTACCAAAAGTGCTGATAAGAAAGGCCCTGCCCTGGGGGAGAAGCAGCAAATTCCAGCCCTTCCACTATTTCTAGTGCCAGGAAAACACAATAAACGAGTACAGCCTCCTGTGCTGAGTAGTACCAGAACAGGGTGGCATCTCATGTCCCCAGGCAGTGGTCCCAAATCCTTCTTCTTATCCTCCCCACTGCCAGGGAATATCAGCTACGCTAACAATGACCTTTCCTTCTGGCTGAAACCACAGAATGGTACAGGAGAGAAGGTGGTTATTACCAGAAACAGGCAAATTTGTGCCTCCCAGCCCCAAGGAATGGAAACCTGCCCACCACTGGCACCAGGGTTGGAGGGCTTAGAAAGGTAGGATCCATCAAGGACCCCATTTCAGAGACTACATCTCTTAAAGGCCAGGAATCAGGTCATCAGTTACCAAGGCTTCTCACAAACACAGGCCAGCAGGCTTACCTTTAATGCCCAAAACAGGGACATGTCAAAAGAGACAATGACAGTGGCCCTAAGCTTATAGGAAAGGATGCTAACCTTGGCAATGACTGAGTGTGGTGCCTGTCACCTGCTGGCCACCTTGTGTTAGAGGCAGCAAAACTACATGCCGTTAAAAGGTGGCAGCAAGAATGATTAAAACTGTGAAAGGGCTACCCCTTGAGTGTTGAGGGCCACACTCCAGGCCCATAGGAAGGGTGCCAGGCCAGCAGGGAAATAACCCTAAAATTCATTCTGGAACCAGGTTTAAAAAAAAAAAAAAAAAAAAAAGCAGCACCTGCTGAGGAAGGGCAAAGGGGCAAAAGCTCTCCTCAGAAATGAAAGACTATTTTGCTGAGGAAAGTATGAAGGAAATCAATATACTGACAAACAAGGCAACACCCCAAAGGAAGGCTCCCCACAGTATAGGGGCTGGCAGGTGGACAAATGGACAAACTGATGGACCCCAGGATTATTCAGACAAAGCTCTCGATAGCATAATCTGGGCACCTGCATGCACCCAGGGCCCAATGTCTCTAAGAGCAGACAAGCTTAAAATTCTCCCTCACAATGTGCTGCCTCCTTGAGCTTTGCCTGGGGGAAGTGAGAGACCCTGAGCAGACCACAGCCCTTGAGTCCTGGGAGGAGCAGCCCATCCAGAGGCAGCACAGCTGCCCAAACTCGAAGAGGAAGACTCCCACCCACAGTACAAGAACTGCAAATACTGTATGGTCCAGGGCCCCTACAGGCCCCATGGCCTACCAGAACACACTCTTCTCAGCAAACAGAATGGTGCCCTTCAGTGGGACAGAAGGGGTTGGCCTCCTCAGGCAAGGGGATCTTGTTGAGAGAGGCTGGCTGGGGTTTTGGGCAGAGGAGCAGGTTTATGTGCCAGGTCCATGGAGAAACCAGGCCTGCCTGCTGCCATAAACTGGCTTCAGCTCAGCTTCATGAATGTAGCCCCATGCCAAAATCAGACCCAAGAAACATGGGTCCAGCTGTGTGCAGTCAGCTTTCTGATGACAAGGGCAACTGTTCAAGAGCTGGCTGACACCCACAGCACAAAACTGAAAAGCTCCCAAGAGATAGGGACCAATCCCCTCTTATATTGGGGGAACAAAGGATGRGTGGGCATGGAGGGGCCCTGTACCAGTCCAGGGCTTCATTACACAATCAGCAGGACCCTGCAGACACAGACCCTAAAGACCTAGGTAAGAGAAACCAAAGTTCAAGGGCATCTGCTGCCAAGCCCACCAGGGGCACCTCTTCCTTCCTAAGTCAACCTGGACACAGCAGTCACAGCCACAGAGCTACGGAGCCTGGCCAAGAGGACGCATGTTCTGCCCTCCTTCACTTTATATATATGGATTCCAGGCTACAGCTAAAAACATTTCTTTTAGTTTACACCAAAGAGAAATATAACCCTTTAAAAGCAAGTCTGTGTGTCCTCACGGCAAGTTCAGAGCAATGGTCCCTGCCTGCGGGTGGAGAGGAAGGGGTCCCGGGGGCCCATAATTGGGCCTACTGGTTTTCGTCCCGCATCTGTTCCATGATGCTGATGAGATTCTCCAGGCCAAACACATAGCCTCTGTCTGGCCCATCATGCACAGTGGGGTCATCCCGGAAGCCTTTGAATGTGCTATGTGCAAAGTCAATCATGCGGACATCCACCTTAGGTGGAGAGGAGGGGCCTGCCTCGGAGTTGGTGCTGCTGGGGCTGGTACTGGGGCTACAGGGTGGTGCCACTTCAGGGAGCCCCATGTCCAGGTGCTTAAGACGCAGCTCAGATCGGCACTCCTTGCCATCATAGATGACAAGCAGAGAACTGGAGTAGAAGCGGTAGGAGGCCTGCCGCTCCAGCACAGCTTTGAGGCCCCGCAGTTTGCTCAGAATAGGCTCAAAGAGGTCACGTCGCAGGTCCAGGCCATTGTGCAGGTACTGATAGAGAGCATTGCGGAAGCCTTCAATGGAGAGCCCACGGCCATAGTACTTGTTCCTGCAGAGGTAATGCCCTGTGTCCAGCTGGTACACCTGAAACCCCAGGAGACAGGGTGAACACCAGGTAAGTCTGATGACTTTGTGGTACCCCGGGCAAGCACCATCTGGAAAGCACTCTATAACCAACCTGCACTTTATTGCTCTTCCAACTGGAAGGAGGCAGGCCACATTCTCTCTAGGTTTTGCCATCATAAGAGCTACGAAAGGCAATTACTGGGCCTATGGTCATCACCTTTAGAGCCCTCCTCCAAGCTGCTCTGGGCCCCCACTAGACTTTAACTAGGAACATACTGCTTAGTTGAACATACTGCTATTAGACAAGGGTCTTACTTGCCCTACTGTGGAGGGAGCAGACTCTCACAGCAGCACTGAAACCTGGAACCCAAATCCAGGTCAATAGTTGGGACAGGAGGTCTCAGTTCTCCCCTCCTGGGAGGACATTTGGTACTGTTCCTGTACTGTCCTCTAGGTATGGGCACAACCTAGAATATGCAAGTACAGCACTGAGGCTCTCACTAGTGGTGACTCACCTGCATGCCACAGACCCTAACCCCCAGTGTAGCAGATGTGCTCTGCTCACACTTCCTCATCTGCCGGGCCGCCTTCTCAGCTGATGCATCATCCCCATGCTGCCGGGTGCCCATCTTCAAGTCCAGAACACAGGGATACTTGAAGTGGTGTACCACGTTCTCAAGCAGGAGAAATTCTGGTCCAAGGTCAAGAATGACAACCACACTCACCGTCTGGTCCATCCAGGACAGCACAAGAAAGGTTTTTTATAAAAAAGAGCATTCTGGTCTAATGCAAAATGTGTTCACCTCACAAACTCTCAAATGTGGGTTTCACACCTCTCAAATGTGGGTTTTACACCTCTAGCTTGTAACTATTATTTTTCAGTCTTGGGAATTGACTTAGGGGTGCCCTACTATGGAGTTACATCCTTATTTATTTATTTATTGAGACAAGGGTATAACTTGTTGAAGTTGACCTTGAACTTGTGATCCTCCTACCTCAGTCTTCCAAATACTTAGGATTACAAGTGTGTGTCACTGTGCCCAGCTTACTTCTTTTTTCGACTGTGTAGAGGGATTGAACTCAGGGGCACTTGAGCACTGAGCCACATCACCAGTCCTATTTTTTGGGTCTCCTGAGTTGTTCAGCGCCTCACTTTTTGCTGAGGCTGGATTTGAATTTGAGATCCTCCTGTCTCAGCCTCCTGAGCCGCTGGGATTACAGGTGTGCACCACCACACCCACACTAGCTTATTTCTTAACAACAACAAAAAAATTTTCAGGCATGGTGGCGCAAGCTTGTAATCCCAGCTGCTTGAGAGGCTGAGGCAGGAGGATCACAAGTTCAAAGCCAGCCTCAGCAAAAGTGAGGTGCTAAGCAACTCAGTGAGACTCCATCTCTGAATAAAATACAAAATAGGGCTGGGGATATGGCTCAGTGGTCAGGTGCCCCTGAGTTCAACCCCCAGTACAAAAAAAAAAAAAAAWTTGGTAAAATGTATTAAATAAAATTACTATTTATAACCACTTTTTTTAAGTGTATCATTTCAGTGGCATTAAGTATATTTACACTGTTGTGCACCCATCACCATTATCTACTTCCAGAAATTTCTTCATCTATTCAAAGTAAAATCCTGTCCCCTTTAAATACTA